GTGTTGTTCAGCATGGGGGTGAGTAGAAAATGAAGGCTAATCATGTTTTGGGTGTACTATTCCTTTAAGATGATAAATATACCCGTTATTTTTTCTACATCGTTGTGACATTTTGGCGATCTCGCAATCGCTAGTTTGTTGGCTCTGCGCTGCCGTAGCGCAAAGATGTCTGCCTCCATGGCTGCGAGACCCGCTCCTATGTAATTATAAATAACGAATTCTATGGCAACGCAAATATTAAGGTTAAGAGGCTGAGCTCGTAGATGATGATACATAACATATTTATGTATAATATATTACATTTCTGACTGTATATCCCTGTAATTATTACACACTGTAGCTTTAATCTGTTGACGAAACTAATTTTCTGCATCTAAATTGTCCCCTTCCCTAGTGGAAAAAGAATACGAGCTCTCAATACCAATTAGGTGTAAACCAGGGGCTCTGGAGCTGGCCTAACAAGAGGTAGGCTCTACTTACTCCAGACTGAGAAGAGTCTGCAGCCATAGTAGGAACTGATTGGCTGTGGCCAATTGTTTACCGCTGGAGTATAAAGAGTTGGTGGTCTTACTGAGAAAGTTCAACACACATAAAGGCCATGATCTAAAGAAATGTAACCAAGAGGAAAAGCCTGCTTGAGCTAAAGCAGAACAGTGATTTGAGTTTAGAATTGAAACACAAATGGTTTGGCGTTGTTGTCCACAAGTGCACTACTCTGGGTCAGGTACCAGGGGTAAATTCCCTACAGACACAATGGAACGAAGGCCACAGTAGGGGCAACTTTGGGTAGAAGCTGCAAACCACAAAACGTTCAGTTAAAATCTGCAAGATGGCTAAGAAGTAGCAATGGATGATGTTCCAGGCTTCTGCAAGTCAATGATTGTACACACTTGTTGCTGCAAGGCCCTGTTCTGGGTGTAAATCAGTAAACATCACTTGCTGAGGGACTCTGGAAGAAGCTGCAAGGCATCACCAGGCAAAGTAGAGCAATTTTAGGCAGCTATAGAAGCAAAAATGTAGGCGTCCTGCTACACAATCTCAGGTAAAACTGTGTAGCAGGGCTTTTGGTTTAGGCTTTTTGATAAAGCTAATATTTAGAGTGGCTCAGGTTATCCTGAGCTATCTATATGGTGCTATAGACTTAGACTGCTGGAGGACATAGGAGACACTTTTCAAAATTCTGCTTTGGTGTATCTCTATTCCCGAAGTCTGGAGTATCTGTTAGGTCAATCTCTAACTTGATGCCCTCGGATCATAGAAGCTTCATCTGGTCCGTTCCTGTTTGGCTGTGAGACCATCCTGGAGAAAAATATCAGATGTGCTGCTGCCATTAAAAACTTTTGTATAGATGTTGTAGCTTGGTCTGTTTTTCAGAGTAATCCTGTTTCTCTGACTGGGACTAACTTGATCTGCTCTCTTTCATCCTCTAACATGGGAGCTGGCTCTGAGCTCGTCTGCCTGGCTGTGTGTTTCCTATCGTCTTTCGTATCTCTGCTTCTTTTTTCTTTGTCTGCTTCTGTCTCCTTGAACCCCAGTCGACCTCAGCAGATGGCTACTCACACTGAGTGGTTCTGCTGGAGGTTTCTTCCTGTTAAAAGCAATTTTTCCTCTCCACTGTCACTACATGCATGCCTGATGTGAGAGATTGCTGTCGAGTCAATGAGTCGATGCAATCAGCTGGTTTACATTAGATAGAAAACTTTGAACCAATCTTACTGTATGTTCTAGTTGTATTCTCTCTGCAAAAGTGCCTTGAGACGACGTGTTGTGAATTGGTGCTATATAAATAAACTGAATTGAATAAAAACCTGGTAATGATGGGATCATGTGGGAGTTTTAGCATTGGGTCTAAGTCAGAAAATGGGACCAAATTAGCTGTGCAGGGGATCTGCGCTCTCCAAGTGCTTTTCAAGATGTTTTTCTTTTTAGTACTGTCAAAACAACACTGCAGTATTTCCTGCTATCAAACCACAATTTCTTTGCACCACCAGTTTTATCTTTATCTTTTTTTTTTTTTTTGATGTTCAAAACAACAACACACATACTTGCCACAGGATACAGCAAAATGTTCCACATGTGCACTTACTGTGCCCCATGCTAGTCTTCTTAGAAGTATTTTTAGAAGACAGAAAAAAATGCAGATTCCGGCCCCTGTGGTGATGATAATATTCTGTCTATGTAAAGACAGTCCGCAGCTCCTTCTTAAACCAGTTAGTAGAGATTAGATGTATTTTAGAGGTTGTCTTCATTTTAGTTGGTGGGTTTAATTAGGCTAAAAGGGAAAGATAACCTGTTGGTGTCCAAAAAGACATCAATATGTGGACTTTAAAGCCAGAGGTAAGTATACACTGACAAAGCCGCAGCTTTTAGTTGGCAAAAGAATAAAAGGAGTCTTTGTCCGTAAACATACAGCGCCTGATGTACCCAAACAAACACAAATATAGATCTAGAAGTTGCTGAGATGAATTCATCACATACAATGAAAAGTATTTTGGATGGTTTAAATCAGGATTACTAATTTGACCTCTTGTTGTTAAGTTAGTAAAGGTATGGGATAGCTATGGATGCATGTTGTGGCCGATTGCATTGTTATGATTAAGCATTAAGAAGTAATTTGTTTTCTCCTGAAAACCCCATCTTTCTCCAACAGAGGAAATTATAAAGCTTACCTTCACATGGTGCAGTTTTTGGTGATACCTCTGTGCTGCCTTCTGAAGCCATCTGTTTCTTCAGTTTGACTCTGCATGTGTTTAGACTTTTCCAGTCTTGCATTCACACATTAAGAGCACACCACGTGTTTTTTTTTTAGTATGGTAGTAAAAGAAAAAAAAAAAAAAAAAACTTTGCATCAGTGGCAGTTTACAGAGGAAGAAGCCAATGTGTGAAAAGCACACGCCTGGACTATGAATACAAGCTTTTTCTTAAACTCTGGAGGATTTTTGTGTAGGTGTGACATGTTCTCATACAGCTTTTTAAATGTACAAACAGCTTAAAAAAAAACGCTCGATGCAGAAGTTTAAATAGCTTACCATACATTGTGCAACCGATTGAATCATGATGGGGCATTACCACTGGGGTGTTTTGCAGTTTGAAATCTTAATTTGTGTCTAAACTTCAGCTTTCTGGTGGATTTCTTAAAACGTTTGTTTGAATGGGTTTCACATAATTCTCTTTCCTCCAGTAATAAAACCATACATGACACTGCCGCTACTTTACATTTAGATAATGTCTTTTGGCTCATTAACTTTACCTACCTGTAATGATACACAGTGGGAACAGAAAGTATACAGACACCTTTAATTAATTTTCCCCCTTTGTTTCATTGCAGCCATTTGCCAAAATCAATAAAGTTAATTTTATTTCTTACAAATGTACACTCAGCACCCCATCTTGACAGAAAAAAAACAAAAATGTAGAACTTTTTGCAAATCTATTAAAAAGAAAAACTGAACTATCACATCATCATAAGAATCAGACCCTTTGCTCCAGTATTGAGTAGAAGCACCCTTTTGAGCTGGTACAGCCATGAGTCTTCTTGGGAATGATGCAACAAGTTTTTCACACCTGGATTTGGGGATCCTCTGCTATTCTTTCTTGCAGGTCCTCTCCAGTTCTGTCAGGTTGGATGGTGAGCGTTGGTGGACAGGCATTTTCAGGTCTCTCCAGAGATGGTCAATTGGGTTAAGGTCAAGGCTCTGGCTGGACCAATCAAGAATGGCCACAGAGTTGTTCTGAAGCCACTCCTTTCTTATTTTAGCTGTGTGCTGAGGGTCATTGTCTTGTTGGAAGGTGAACCTTCTGCCCAGTCTGAGGTCCTGAGCTCTCTGGAAGAGGTTCATTTCCAGGATAACACTGTACTTGGTCGTATTAATCATTCCTTCATTTGCAACCAGCCATCCTTTCCCTGCAGCTGAAAAACATTCCCCTAGCATGATGCTGCCACCTCCATGTTCCACTGTTGGGATTGTATTGGGCAGGTGATGAGCAGTGCCTGGTTTTCTCCACACATACCGCTTAGAATTAACACCAAAAAGTTCAACCATAGTCTCATCAGACCAGGATAATCTTCTTTCTCATAGTCTGGGAGTCTTTCATGTGTTTTTTTTGGCAAACTCCATGCAGGCGTTCATATGTGTTGCACTGAGGATAGGCTTCTGTTTGACCACTCTAACTGGTGGAGGGCTGCAGTGATAGTTGACTATGTGGAACTTTCTCCCCTCTCCCTCTGCATCTCTGGAGCTCAGTCACAGTGATGATCTTTGGGTTCTTCTTTATCTCTCTCACTAAGGCTCTTCTCTCATGATTGCTCAGTTTGGCTGGACTACCAGATCTAGGAAGAGTTCTAGGAAGAGTTCTATCCCAAACTTACTCTATTTAAGGATTATGGAGGCCACTGTGCCTAAGAACATAAAGTGCTGCAGAAATTCTTTTTCAACCTTGGCCAGCTCTGTGCTTTGCCACAACTTTCTGAGCTCTTTGGGCAGTTCCATCAACCTCATGATTCTCGTTTGCTCTGACATGCACTGTGAGCTGTAAGGTCTTATATAGGCAGGTATGTGCCTTTCCTAATCAAGTCCAATCAGTTTATTTAAACACAGCTGGACTCCAGTGAAGGAGCAGAACCATCTCAAGGAGGACCCGAAGAAATGGACAGCATGTGAGTTAAATATGAGTGTCACAGCAAAGGGTCTGAATACTTATATTTCAGTTTTTCTTTTTAATAAATTTGCAAACATTTCTACATGTGTTTTTTTCTGTCAAGATAGGGTGCTGCTGAGTGTACATCTAGAAATAAAATGAACTTGATTTAAGCAAATGTCTGCAATGAAACAGAGGGGAAAATGGAAATGGGTCTGAATACTTTCTGTACCCACTATATGTTAGGGTTGAAAACTTTAATTACAGGTTAATACGAGTTGGTCTTGATGGATTTATTGAGGTGAGCCACATGCTTTATACCGGTATTACTTTAAACAGTTCTAAAGATTTTCAGATTTTGTCACAACCTCTGCTGGGCAATCATCAAAACCACCCATTATATAACAGTTCACTTCTTTAAAGCTGCTGAAGATAACCTAAATGTGTACATTTAAACGTTTTAGCCTCTAGATGTGAAAAGGTAATATGGATGTGCTTCAAAAGATCCAAAATTGTAAAAGCAGTAGGAGCTGGTTTTGCAAAACATGGACTTGAAGGGTGTAACATGTCAAATCGTTTGTTTTTTTCTTGTAAACATGTTGAAACCATTTTCACTTTCCCTATAATACTTGATTTTGCGTTTTATTTAAATCTAATACCATGTGTTTGGGGTTTGTCAAACTAAAATGCATATACAGTGTATACTTTTTGGTTTATGATAAAGAATGGCAAAGTTTGTACTTTGTACTTGGAAGACACGCTCGTTTCTCTGTAATGGGTGGAGTTATAGGATCATGTCCGCATATACAAAGCAGTCGAATTTACATTGAATTTGCTTAACCTGACCTAGTTATGTTTATTTGTTTTTTGTGAGCAAGGTTTGCCATTAAATCCAGAATTCATATAAAATAAAAAACATTAAAGCTCCAAAGTCCTATTACTGTCAAACATGGGCGGTTCTAGACAGGAGCCAAAAGGGGCCACTGCCCCTGTAGAACTGGTCCTGGCTCCTGTTATGGCCACTGTACCAAAAACATACAGTGCAAAAATAGAAACATACATTAGTATTTTTACACATAAGTAATTTTTTTTTATTGGAATAAGTGCATGTTCCCTTGATTTGAGCAAGTAGGTCAGACAATATGTGAAAGACTCCATTAACTTATTTTGAGTGCATAATATTTAATCATAATATTTTTAATTGGAAAAATACTTATTCCTTTTGTTAGATTAGCATAATTACTATCTCAGTTTAAATGCAAATACACTTATTTTAAACAATTTTTACTTTTTTTTTTAGATCATTCTTTGCAGTGTGATATTAAATACATTTCTTATGATATTCGCAGAGAGAAGAGACTGATTTATCCCTTGGAACAATTTAATAGTTTGCCTTTACAATTTACTTTAAATTATTCAGAAAAGAAAGTCAGGTTTAAGCATCATTTGTATTAAGATAGGATCTAAATTTTCATCTGTTAGATCGGCAGTCTGCAAACTTAGCTTTGCATTTATACTACATGATGCAATCTTGCTCCCCCTCCAATCTATTTAGGGTGTTTGTCATTTTGATCCCTGCCCCCTATGAAAAAACACTGCTCCCCCCGTACATTTCAGGTTGAGGAGTTTCTAATGATATTAAATTAGAACTAAAAGATCAAACTAGACAGGCAGAACAACCAGAGGTTGGGTTAAGCAGCGCTTCTAGTTGGGCTCTGGTTCAGTGCTTCGCTAAACAGCTGCGGATTAGAGGTAGGAAAAACAGACATAAAGCTGGAAAGTAAGGCATAAATGAGTTATAAATAACACAAAAAGGAAATATGGTAAAATGGGGGCAGAGAATTTTCTAGAAAAGTGGTAAATACAAAAAACCTTAATAATTAAAGAATGAGAAAAAAATCTCTTAGGTCATGTTGAACAAAGCAGACATTAGCAACAAAAAAAAGCATTTTATATTTTTGCATTTCTTTAAAAATACATAACATTACCACATAATTGTGTCTTAAATGTTATTAAAGCAACATCTCTACTCAGAAACAATTCAAATGTTGATTATATATTTTTATTGAAGCAAAAATGATCAATCTATAAGTAAAAAAAAAAAGTGCATTTTATTTTTGTCCCATTTTATTTTAAATTAAATGTAGAGCCAAACATTTATATATTTGACTGAAGAACAAATGAAATCGCCACTACAGCTTGTGTACCAGAATTTCAGTCCAATGAAAGCCTCTTAAGACAAAACAAAACAAAACAAAAAAAAAACAGATGAGAACAACAAGTTTTTATTAGCTAATACTAACTAAAGACAATCCATTTATCAGGTCCTGTCACATCTTTATAAGAAAACAACCGTTAAGATACTTTTCAGGAACAATAGTTCCTGATTGCAAGTTGTTTTGCCCCAAAGAGATCTTTGGTTTGGTGTTTTAACAGAAAAAAGCTGAAATTAATTTTCATAATGATTTTTTTCCACATTAAACATTTTAATCATGTTTTAAATTGTCTTATAAAGTTGTTAGACATTTTATCAGAAACCCTTTCCATTATCATAAGGCCTTGGGTGGGGTCAGTGGATGAGGGCAACATTGATTTTCAGAAATGTCAAATAAAAAAACCCTTAACAATCAGACAGGTTTCAGGTATTACAGGAGACAATCCCCCCCATTTAACGACAATCCCCCTCTTTAACGACCGACCTTCAGAATCAGAGACAGGTTTCAGATATTACAGGCGAACAATAAAACCAAACGACCCACTCGTCGGTTTACATTTGCATGTTTCCAAGCAATACAAGGCCTCGTCTATATAAAGACTCAAACTCCAGACATTTGAATTGAGAAAGCTTCCTGGAGAGGTGGCAAAACGTCTTCAAATCTTGGAAACCAAGTCCAGTGGATTGTTTTTTAACTTTTACGTAAAATTAAAAAAATAAATAAATAATGAGATCCTAAATTACTCTAAGATACATTTTCAAACTTCTCTTTTTTTATCAAATGAAAAAAAAAAAGAAAATAGCGCCACCCAGTGAAGAACAAAATATTTAAAAATGCAAAACTCCAAACCAACAAAGATGAGCATCCTTTAGACTTTAGCCATTATACTCCAAAACTAGATAGATCTACCAGGTTTTCAGCATAAAGCTATTTGGGCATCAATATTTCAACAAAGCAGTATTTCCCATCTATCCAGCAGTAATTCTTTAGCATAGATGCACTTAGGAAAATTGAGAATTTAGAAAGCAGCAGTAGATGTTCACTAATTCTGGCCGGCTTGTCAAGTTACATCTGAGATTTTTAAGATTTGCTACATTTTATTTTTTTATGAACCAGAAAGGATCATATTAAACATGCAAGCTCAGATATATTCATTCAGTTATCTGTGATTCAACTGCCTACAACCAAATGGTTCTTACTGTTACACTTACTATGTAATGTTATTTAGAAAATATATTATTATAGTTCATTCTAGGAATGTGGTTTTGATCAGGAAGAATCTAATTTTGCAAATGTAACAACATAGAGGAGAGTGCTTTTAATAAATGTAAAAACGTCTCGCCATAGCCCTCTGTCTATAAATGTACACATTAACTCAGGCAACAATCTTCTCCTTCGCCATCTTTGTCTCCTTTGCCACTGTAGCGTTGTTTCTTTTTCTTCTCAATTTTCTTTTAAATTTTTTCATTAAAATCACTGGTTCCAGTGGGGTGAAATAAGCACTTCCCGTTGCCATGGTGACTCGTCAGATCATTGCTCCACCGATAATGGCTTTTCACTCTTGTTACGCACGCGCTTAACTCTGAGTGGCTCTACTTAGAGTTTATTGAATTAATTCATAGCACCTGTTGTGAAACCAAAAACTCAGAGTTCCCGACTTTAGGCTAGATCAATTTAGAAATGTGGATTTGAATCAGAGTTTGTTAAACCTGCTTCATGAAACGGACCCCTAGATAGCATCTCTAGGTATTTTTCTTTGGTGGAGCAGCTGCTATTTCTGTTTAAAACAGGCTGCTCCTCTCTGTGGTTTACCTATGATATGTGATATGAAATTAGTAAAAAAATATAACGTAAATAGATGAATTGCTTTCCTGATTTGGAGATGGATTTAAGGCATAGAGAAAGCTATTGCAGAGGCCCCACATCTGCCTGCTTTAAATATAACAAAGGCATTAACATGATACAGTTTGTTCACTGTCCTAAATCAGTCGTTAGATAATCTAACCACTTTGAATTCCATCAGCAGCACTGCTAACACTACCATGTTGTTGCAGTGGGTTTTAAGTTTAATAGACTCACATTATTTTTTAATAACAAATTTCTTTTCAATGTGTACATAAAACTCCTCTGTAAATGATAGAAAAAAATATCATGAAAGTAAAATAAAACTAATATACATGTGGAGTGTGTTTGGATTTTTATTGTTTTTAAGACATTGTACAGACCAGAGCTTTATGCAGGTCAGCTTGAACCGTTCTACATGTCTGGATGGATCATCTGAATGGGAATTGGATTTAAGGTGCACGGTAGTAAGAGATTATATATGTTGTGAATGGGCGCTGTACAAACTGAAGGAAAATTCCTCAGAAAAAGGCTAAAGATCGGATCAAAGCTATTTAAACAGAATGCTCTACGCTTTAAAAAAGACCTTGGCTTGTTTGGAATATGTATAAAAACTATTTGCAAACTAACAGAAAATTATAAACTGTTCAGCTTTTTCTTAACAAGTTCCTCAGTACTCCATAACTAAAGGTTCATGTTATCATTTAATGTTTCTTACCATGTCTAATCCTCAAATAGAGTTTCAAAAATCAAACTTTAAAACTTCCATAACATCTTTAAGTTGAGCTGCCCTTCTGGAGTTTATAGTAAACGTGTTGTCCCAGCTCTTTCTCAAAATATTTTTTCATCTGCAACAGAACACAGAGACACAGCTCAATATTTTGCCCAGCAGACCTAAACATAACTTAAAACATAAGTTAAAACATAACTGGGTAAAACCTAAGTTACAATTAACCAGACTTAGTGTTGTCTGACTTACATCATCAAATACTTTATCCCTGGTTTCGCCTTTGTCACAATACAGAGTTGCTTCTGAGGAACAGAGCATTGACAGATCGATTTCCACTGGATCCTCAACTGTGGGAAGGAAAAACAGATGATGAGGAAACTAAACACCTAAACAGACTCTCATTCATGGGACAAATTTGCATTTACAGAGACATAAATCCAGGCAATGGGTAAGTGTGAGAATGGGATGCTTTTAGTTTTACTTTGTCACGAGGTTCGGAAATATGAGCATTTAGTCAAACAACCCTTTTAAGGTCACGCAGCATGTCTGACCTTTGATGTTCCACTGTAAAAGGTTAGAGACAGTTGCTTCCTTATTCAGCAGGATGACATACCATTTCACAAAGCAAGGTACATAGAAATATGAAGGTGTGAGTTTTGAATGGAAGTACTGAGCATCATTATCATCCCCCATTAGTGTCTGACCACACAAATGGACAAAATACCTTAAAGGTATAGTCAATAATTGTCAATATTGTCAATTATTCTGGTGATATGTTTACGTAAGGCCGTCCAACGTGGTCGTCCCCATTTTCAATTACTGGTGGTGAGTCTGACATAGTAGAAAAATGGCTAATCTTCTTTTGGAAAGTAAGCTTGTACGAGCGATGCAAACAGCAACTTGTGCTTGCGCATTCTCTCACGCGTTAAAGAGGCGTTCCCTCTCAGGAGCGGGTACAGCGTTGTACATGCGCATTCTTTTTAAAAGTGGAGAGGGAGGGTTTTTTCAAAAATTAGCGAAAATTCTCCACTATAGCTTTAAATCACAGAAAATATGTGATAGTTGCACGGAATCTGCAGATAATATATACATTAAATCCTGGATATGATGGAAATGGGAGAAAATAAAACAGATTTAAATATCCATCCATCATTTTCTGTCATGTTGTTATACAATATCAAATCTTAAAAATCTTAAAAATTGGATTTTGTGGTTTTAACGTGAGAAATCTGCGAGTTTTCTTTGAGGCCCATGTGGCTATAATGATTCTCACCCGTCGTCCCGCTGCACTTCGCCGGTTGACTGGTCGTGTTGTCGCTCAGGGTGAACACCTGAAAGTTGTAGGTGCTTCCTGACTTCAAGCCCGTAAACTTGCAGTGGGTTTCATTGACTGTTTTATTATTATCTGTGTTCCAGAAATCCGACTTGATGTTGCAGATATATTCACGTGCTGATGAGTTTTTTGGGGCAGTCCATGTAAACTTGAGGGAGTCTTTTGTACTGTTGAGGACCTTGGCGTCAGTAGGAGGAGATGGGGCTGAAAAGAGAAAGAGACACTTAGGAAAGTTTTTTTTTTTTTTTTTTTTAAACAAGAAACCTTTAAAAGTAAAGTAATAATCATCTGATATCAGCATATTAATTACGCACGTCTTTATGATCTAATAAAGTAAACTCACAGGTAAAAATGAAATTTGTCGTGTTTGGACTTCGCAGATTGTTAGTGACGGCATAGACGTCCACGGTATATCTGGTAGCAGTTTTCAGATCTTTAAATGTCACATTATATGCTGTTATGTTTTTTTCTTGGTCTAGGTGTCCACTGTGTGAAAGCACGGCTGTGAAGTTTGAAACCTCTCCATGTTTAGAATCAAAGCTCCAATTGGCTGAAACCCATTCAGGACCTGCTGCTAAGGTCAGATTTGAGACGGGTCCTGGAGCTGTTTGAGTCAGAAAGAATGGTTAATGTCAACAAATTAACCATAAAACAGATTAAATAAACAACTGAAGAATTAGAAAAGATGTACCAGTGTATGTTGTAAAATGTACAGTGGCTCCGTTCAATTTACAAATGCTGATGGCCGTCACATTGAAGTTAATCTGTTTTCCATTTGGCAGGCCCTTCACCTCAACTTCAAAAGGTTTGGCAAGGAGATCCTTCGGATAAGTCACATTAGCCTGCAGGTCCAACCTGTTATAATACAAACACACTTGCATTACAGAGAGAAAAGGGCTGTGTCCAAATGTCCGCCCTAATCACTATGTAGGGCACTATATAGGGGTTACGCCATTTTAGATGAGTGTCCGAATGTCTAGTGGATGAAAAAGTAGTGGACTCTAAATTTCCCAAAATGCACCTTGAAAAGTAGTGATCATCCATGGTTACTAGACAAGTAGATATATCCTGAAATGCTTTGCAAGGAGAGGTCTCCTTGCAAAGCATTATGGGATTTGCTGCAACAGCGGCCTGTGATACTACATGACAGCGGTGACTAATAACAAAGATGGCGGAGGCACCCTGCAGGGAGGTGGTCTCACATGACCGACAGGGAGCAAAAAGTACTGATCACCTGTCCGCATGGACTGAGTTCGCTATAAAGTCCGCTATATAGTCCTTGCTCTGTATAGTGATTGAGGGATTCAGGAGTTAGCGCGGACATTTGGACACAGCCAAAGACTTTTGCTCAAGCAGCTACGACTGAGGTGACTAAAATAGGATTTGCTTCATCATGGTGTATGCAGCGGATGATTAAATTCAATGAAAATACGCAACAATTAAACAACCAAGTTGACCTGAGCCTTAAGGGTGAAATAATGATAAGAAAACCTAACATTTAGTGCTTTCCTTGACATTAACCCCTTCATACATACAAATTTCTATCCATGGCTTTCACTTCGAATCCTGTGTAATTTCCCTCTGGCGGCTCCCACTTGAGCTTGAGGTGTGTGTCACTGTTATCAAACGCTTCCAGCTTGGACACCTTGCTGGGACCTGAGAGAGGGGAGGGAGTCAGAGAGGAGGGAGAGAGTGGACAGGTGGTTATAAAACAGACAAAGCCTCTCTGTGAGGTTAGTGAATATTATCCCAAATAAGAGCAGGCAGCTGTCATGGTTCAGGTAAACTGAGGCTAGAATTTGCCTTTGCTGATTTGAATGTCAGATAAAGCCTAAATAGGCAAGGACTTGGGTTTATATATCATATTTCCTCTACAGGCCCTCTGGTAAGGTCAAAGCAACCAAAACTATCAAGTTGAAGTACTCAGGGGGCCAAAGCTGTTTTTAGTTTCTACATTTTTTTTTTAACTCAAAAATGTAGCTGTGCAGTATTTTAATGAAAAGAACAAAGTAGTCCAATTTCTGTCAGAGAAGAAGAAAGATCTATACATAATTGTAGATTTTAGAGATAAATCTTTGCATGTAAAAAAAAAGCAACAACAAAAAAAAGCTAATGAAGTCCTTTTTTCCCTTTGTCTCTTTGAGTGTCTTCATTGACAGGGACAAAGCTCACTACTTGTTTTGCAAACTTTAACAAATATTGTTCTTTCATTAAAAATGTATATATATTTTTTTGTATTTGCTTTTAAAGGCCATAGACAATGATGTCTGTCTGGATTAATGCATTTCTTGTATTTAAACGCTAATTTAGAACCATTGTTCTCCTGCTCTTTTTTTCCTCCATGTGCAATGTTTTGTTATTGTCGTGTTTAAGGATTGTGACAATGAAACGTAAAATAACATTTCTATGAAAATTAATGAAATAAAATGCAATGTCTTTAATAAGACTATAAGCCATATAATGTTTTACACTCTACATGAGAAAGTTTCATCTGTTTGTGTCTTTTTTCTTAAGTTAAAGGTATAGTGGAGGATGTTCCTTTTCTGGGTGGATCATCAAAATAAGTGTTCCTCCTAATTATCACTCATTCTGTTGAAATGTTTACCTAAAGCCATCCTAGGTGCTCGTCCCCATTTTCACTTAACAGTGGTGAGTCTAGTGGAAAAATCCTTCTTTTGGAAAGTAAGCTTGAATGAGCGATGCAAACATCAACTTTTAAACAGAGCATGCACAAAGAGAAATGGGCTTATGCATGCTCTCGCACGGGATTAATAGGCGTTTCCTTTATGGGAGCGGGTATAGGGTCATGCATGTGCATTTTGTTTTAAATTGGAGAGGGCGGGCCTTTTCAGAAATTTGCAAAAATCCTATCTTATACCTTTAAAGTTGCACCACAGTAATTGAGGCTTATTGAAAGGCTACAAATGACCCCTGAGCCAGAACTTTGGACATCCCTGCTTTAAACAGATGGACACACAGCTCAGCAACAGACGGTTTAAATGAAAAGTGATGTAAACTTACTGGTACATTCTGATATAGTGGCGATATCGCTCCACCTGGTCCTGTCTTCCACCCCGGTGGTGACAAAGAAAGTGTAATTGTTTCCCTGTGTCAGACCATCAAACACCAAACTTTCTGCAGTTATGTTGTCCTTAACGATTGACTCAGTGTCTACATAGTTAGAATGAGCTGTAACTTTGAAGAAGCCGTAGTTCCCTTCAGGCTTCTTCCAAATCAGAGTGACAGTTGTTTCTGTATAATTGGTCACAGTGAGGTTCTCCACCTTCCCAGGGACTATGAGGAGGAAACAAACCCACAGTTAGGCTTTTCAGGTTGGTATTACTTATTAAGTCATATCAAGGCTACGTTAGCTGTACTTCAAGCAGTGTTATGCTTTTTGTAAAGCCTAAAAGTTCTCATTTAACCAGTGCAGCAGAAATTTGTTAAACTTTAGTTTTTTAGAAAAGCAGAGGTATATTTCTGGGGTAGCAGAAAGCAAAAGTGAGAGCGCAAAGCAAAATAGATCAGAGTCTGTGGCAGCTTTCACCACTCTGACACGTGTTCATGAAATAAAATAATATTTAATCTGCTTTTTAAATCTACAGGCAGCTCCTGCCCTATAAAGACCTGACAGTGAATAGTACATTTTAAGAAATGCATATCATTATTTCAAACAACCACAACTTTCAGATGTAAAAAGAGAACAAAAGGATTTAATTTATATCGTTTTAAATTATGCAAAGGCAAAAAAAAACAATCAACTAGCACCTGTTTAAAAAAATGAAGTAAATACAGCGTGTACGGAAAGTATTTAGACCCCTTTAAATTTTTCAACTCTGTTTCAATGCAACCATTTGCTAAGTTAAACTTATTTCTCATTAATGATGTTTCAGTTTTTCTGTAGTAAATTTGCTCAAATTTTTGCATTTCTCTTTTTTTTATGTCAAGATGGGGTGCTGAAAGTACATTAATGAGAAATACGATCAACTTTATTGATTTTAGCAAATGGATTCAATGAAGCAAATAGTGAAACATTTAAAGGTTTTTAAATACTTTCTGTACCCACTGTATGTAGTTAGATAAGAAATGGTAAAAATCTACATCTAGGGGATTTATAAACAACAGTAAGACATGTTTATATTTCCAATGAATGTGTATTAAAAAGGCATGCAACAAGATAAACACTTTTTAGCTTAACGCTTTTAATTTTTCACACCATACCTTTGTAATTTATGAACATACGTCATAAAAACTTCATTTAATTCAAATGTAAGGTTAAAAAGTTTGGTCAGCAGATGCATCGCCTGCTTTAATGAGCTACTTACTGGTGTAGAAAGTGCCGTTCTGTGGGTTGAGGTCCCTGCCACACTTCACAGGAAACACTTGGATGTCATAGCCTGTGCCTGCAATGAGACCCTCAAGGTCATAGCTCAAATTCTTGAGGGTTTTGGTAATATTCGTGTCCCCTTTAGCAGAGAGCACCACTAAGCGATAGCCGCTGATGTCACCAGGCCCCTTTTCCCACATCAGAGCTGCAGAGGAGGCTGTGATATTGGATATGGTGACACTCCCCATGAAGCGGTCTGAAAGGAAAAGAAAAAACACAGGGTCAGCATGGTTTGTACTAAAACTGAAATCTCGATTACAATGCAAGTTGTATTTGACAATAAAGATAAATTGATAACAAGGAACGCCCACTTGCCCTAATATATTAAGATAAATAACAAAAGTGCTTCTATAAGAAATCCATTAAAAGAACTCAGAAAGCGAAAGAAACATGTTTTTTTTTGTTACAGCATAAACTTAGAGGCATTAATGCTGAAACACTTTCATTTTTTACTTTTTTTACTAAGTTTTCAATTGGCTTTTAACCTTTTTTCCAACTTAATTTACGGTAGGTAATATATCATTCAACGGTTCATGTAATTGGTCAAATTAACATGTACAGCCACGCAGCAGTATCGTTGCGGGATGACTGGATATACCAGTTGAACATTTTACTCTTTAAAGAACTAGGTATCTTATTTAAATTAATTATTTTGGTACCACAATCCCTGCTTTGATGCATACTTCAGAACACTTAATTTCTTTCAAAGTCTAATTCTCATTAGAAAAAACGTTTCAAGAAAATCTTTAAAGGATTTATTGGCTTTATTTGCAAGTTTATAATTTTCAGATTTCTGCCATGAGTCCTAAAGTTTTATACTGCTCACGTGATTATTTTGTGAGCATCAAGCTGCAGAGGCTAGAAGCTGCTTTTTATCTCAGCCTTACCTTCATAACAAATGGAAGGTAGCTTTTCCCAGCATTCCTTTTCAACCCAAGGCCCAAACCTGAGTATGACCACACAGGAGTTTTCAATGTAGTTTTTATTATTCTCTGGAATGATGGGCGGCAACATAGGAGCTCTTTCGCATGTTGAAATGACAGGCGGCTGCGGCGTGGACGACCAGAGTGAGTGCGAGCTCGTGGTGTTTCTAGGGTCACTGGTGCCCGCATCGCTGTTCACTTCAGTGTTGCTTGCACTGGTGCCCTCATCGCTGGTCACTTCAGTGTTGCTTGCACTGGTGCCAGCATCGCTGTTCACTTCAGTGTTGCTTGTTACCATTGATTCTGTGTTTGAACCTGTGGAGATGGAAAATCTAGCTGGTGGGCTGGTGGTTGTACTGTTGGGAACCGGGCAGGTGCAAGAGCAGCTGCAGCAGTCAATCTTTGGCAGAGGGGATTTAAACACCGGCCAGCCAGGGTACCAGTTCTGGAAGAAAAGTGGATCCCCGTTGGCCCACCCTGTCCAGGGCGTATCGTTGTTACTGGTTCCTTTGTAGTTTATATACTTGCGAAGGCCAATCCAGTGGTCGGAGTTGGCCATTTTGGAGACGATGTGGGTGTTTTCTGGAGTCAGAGTCACCATCTCCTTATAGCAGACCTAAGCAGACATGACAAAACAGTCAATTTATGTAACTATGTTCTAAAATGCCAATCATGAAGGCTAGGATCTGAATATAAGGAAAGATTGAGATTTTCCAGTCCGAGAACCTGAGCTAAATCGACTGCGTGGTGATAACTACACAAAATCCCCAACGCCAAGCTTAAGCTTCTGAAAGGTTCTGTTAGTTTATGTTTACAAAGTCAGATCTCTACCAGGATACCAACCTGTTCAAATGAACTTTACTCATTCTGGTCAGAATTAGGCCAGAGGCTTTTTGATCAAAACAAAAAAAATACAGCAACTTGCTGAGCTCGACTTCGTTAACATCAGTGGCTCAACATGTATATATTTGAATCTGCAATTATAAATGCATCAATGTATAAAATCAATAATTGCTTCAATCTTTTGAATCAAAATCTCGTTTAGAAAAAAATATAGAGGTTCTAATATAGTTGTTTCGGTTGTTAGGATAATTATCATTGAAGATGTGTGAGTTTATTGCACCTTGGTATTGGCTGTCTGTTGCGTGTCAGAACTGATGTTTTAATCTAATAAGGACAGTTCCTCTGTCTGGATATAGTTATAATCTTCATTCTGTACGTGGCAAAGACTTGGAAATGGAATGAGAGCGGTGTCCTTCGCTAAGAACAAAGTGTAATACTTTGATAAGGCTGGAGCCATGGATGTCTAATCATCTGCTAATGATGTAAAATAAGAGTATGTGGCAGACTGGAGGTGTAAAAAATGCTTTTTAACTGTAAATCGGGGCCACTTCCATAGAGGTGAGCCCAGAGGGGAACAGCTGCCTTCTGTAAACACTAAAACAATGTCTCTGATCTGAGTAAGATTACAATTTCTATCAGAATCTGTTGTTATGTCTCTTGGTTATTTAATACATGTTAATTATGAAATCCTGCTCAAAGAGTTCTTTAAAAAGAACCGGAGAGATTGAGTGTCATGGGGCATACACAGAGCCCATCAATAACACCGTTGTTTTGTTTTTTTAGCTGGGCTGAAAAGCCTGAATCATCTATTTAACCAGGTCTTAATCCAAATGGTTTATGCAAATGGTTTGTTCTTTTTTGTAATGTGTGTGAGATAGCAGACCAGCATAATCCTTTTTACGTAATAACAGTTTTATACTATGAAATTTTCAAGCGTTAACAATTAATGTTAGCTAGAAATACTGGCTTCATAATTTATAGACAGTCAACATATTCCATTGTGTAAATGGAAGCTTCTCTTGTCACTGTAAAGCATGTAGTGGATGAACAGAGGTTTTAACTTTTAAGCCTCCTTTGTGACAAGTTTCCGTCACTAGTGAATGGGAAAGGTGTGGTCAGGTCCTGACATCAGCAATAAAACTTTCTATTGGAAGTTTCGAACAGACTTAAATGCTTCCAATTGAAATGACTGATTTTCTCTTCTTATTAGAAATTATTCCTTTCTTGCCTTTTTAAATACCCTTTCTGGCTGAGCAGCCTAAACAAAAATTATTACATCCCTTAACCTGCAAAGCTAACATTCCTCTTTTCCTGTCTACATCATTCAAATCAGCTGCTCAACAGAGGGGGTTGACTTTAACCCACCCATTCCTTTCTTAAAGAATACTGCTTCCTTCAGAAACACCAGAGTACAGATTTTATTATTGTTGGGACAAACTCCTAATGCTCCTTTAAGTTATGAAAGATTGTGACCTTTTATAAGCAAGAAGAAACTTAATTTGGGTTAAAAGAAAGGAACGATATGAACAAATATATATATATATATATATATGAACAAAAATAATATAATGGCAGCAGGTTGCACGCAAATCCCATAAAATCCAAGAAATTAAAAAAGCAACAATGACTAACCAGTAAATGATGTCACACTTGAGAGGAGGAAACTAACAAAAGGTTAAATATCAGTAATCTATTACGGACTCACCAAGTGGCCTCATCTTATGCTGACGTAATAATAAAATTTAAAACCAATGCAGACCCATTTTCTGTTGGTTGGACAGCTTTTTATATTAGAAATCCCAGTATTTCAGACTTTGTGATGCCAAGAACTTTGGAAGAGAAACACAGAAATGCCCACAGAATCACAAAACCTCCACTATGCTCAATAGAGGCCATAAGGTTTCATCTTTAGTTTTTTACATAAGACACAGTAAATGACTGACCATTTTTCCTTACTGTAAACTGTTTTTTCTTTCCTTCTCAAAGATTAACCTGACAATCAAGTGAAAAACTAGTCAACACTTCTGTGGTTTTATTCTTTGGGAAACAAGACTAAGGTAGCAATAAAACCCTCACCTCCAGATCAAGTTTATTATTTGCAATTTGTGGACTTTAACCAGCTTTACTCCAGGAAGATTTTTAAAAGTCCAAGCTTTTTTTTAATGACAGTTACCTTGGCTAAGATTTGATCATCTACTAATTCTATATGCGACTAGTCAGCAGTTAAGACATACACTACCTAAAACCTTGAATTTTAGAATTTCATCAGATTGACCTTCTCCACAAATATATTTGATAAAAGGATGTCTGTGTATCTTGCCGTTACCAAACAAAACTGTTATATAAACACTTAAATTTTGCCTTCATCAAACCATACTAGACTTAATACAAGTGTTGCGACAGATGAACCTAGAAAGCTTGATGAAACGATAACCCAGGCAGGTTGGGTTCCACATTACTTCCTGACTTAATGCCAGGTGTTATTTGGCTTCTAACTCAAGCCTTCCCAAAAATTAGCTATCGCTGCCCTCGTTTATGGAATAGCCTCCCGCCGCACATTAGGGAGGCTCCTTCCCTGCTGAATTTTAAAACACGGTTTGAGACATTTTTATTCACTGGCTTTTAACACTTACAGGACTTCGTTGTTATGACGTTTATTTAGTTTTGTTATTATTGCCTTATTTTATATTTTAGTGCTAAAAATGTAAATGAGATGTTTAATTTAACCATCTAGTTCAGTGAAGTAAAGGCGTGCAATTAAAAGGTCTGCTAGAAATCTCCTGTCCAGGGGTGATGCTGAGAAACTAGTCCATGCATTTGTTGCTTCAAGGTAGGACTATTATAATTTTTACTATTAGGAAGTCCACAAACTGTAGTTAAAAGTCTTCAGCTGATCCAAAATGCTGCAGCCAGAGTTCTGATTATAATTAAAAAGAGAGATCATATCTCTCCTATCCTGGCTTCTCTTCATTGGCGTCCTGTTAAACCCAGAATCGAATTTAAAATCCTCCTTCTCACATATGAAGCCTTAACCCTTTAAAGCCCGATCCAAGAATAAAACAAAACAGAAAGTTACTTTTTTTTTTTGGTTTGAAGTCCTTATTTGGCCTTTTAACAAAATATGTAAAAAGAAAAAACAGAAATACATTTTTGATATTAATAATTTATTACTACGTGATAAGTCAATATTATTTTTTGTGTAGTCATCTGCCCTCTGTTATCAGGTATATCTGATTGTGTACAATAGGATTTTGAGCAAAGTTTTT